GTGGAAGCAAATTTATGCACGAATATTCAAGAACTTCCAGAAGAACTTTGTGTAAGCATATCAACTGTTTCGGAGAATATGAAGCTAACCACAATGGTGATGAAATGTTCGCAAAACTTGGACACCATTCCAGACCGAATCACGATTACTTTTTCCAAGGGCTCGCATTTTACACACTGCACCACTGATGTCGTTGTTTGCGTTTCTCTTAGCTCGTTTTCTACCTAACGCTGCCATCAGAAATCACCCGTCAGCGGGATTGATATGGCGAGCACAAATCGGCAGTGAACCCAGTTAAGCTGAGACTGTTGTCGAAATCCCTATGTTAACAATGTCAACCTTCTATTTGCTGCCTATTACCACTTTTAACGACAGAATATGATGTGAATTACAACTGATGCGAAGACATTCGCAAAACTATATATCTAATATCTCAGCATCGTCGTGGTTGTGTTTCACATCGTGCCCTGCCGCTAAAAATAACAGCAGGTAGCAAATAAAAGGTTAACAATCTAATGATAACTTCAATGATGCTACGATATTTGCAAAACTTCGGACCGCAGGTATCTGCGGTGAGGAACGAACGCGGTATTGTCCTTTCCAGAGAGTAACGCGTTCACCACATCATGCGGGTCCATCGTTTCGCCTGTCTCTCAGCTAGTTCTATCGATCTCTGCCATCAGCGATCACCTGTCAGTAGGAGCAGAATCCAAACATAATTTAAAAGTCGAAGAATCTCAGCAAATGGATACCACACCGATGACAATCAGAGAAACCGCTGTTTCGAAGTACCGCCAGCGCTTCTTCTGTGCATAACGAACAACATGTTTCTCGAACGTACTGTGAAGTTAATGGGGAAATAGATGCTCTGCGATAACCAGTGACGATCAGATCGTTAGCTGGACCCTGATGAAGACCCGAAGCACCTTCCAGAGCCGAAATTGAACCAAAATGTCATGATGAGCGTTTGGTCTACACCTGTTTTAATCTATCACGGCTCCCTGAATCCGAGTGAATAGGTTAGGGAGGAGAATTGCGCCCATTATGGCGAAGAAATACACCAGAAACTTCAACGACTGCGCCGGTCACTGGTCAACGGAAAAGCACCATTCCTTCTCTATCCACGACAGAGCGTGGCGACGTCTATCTCACCCTACGCTGCAGAAGTTGCGGGGCTGGGTTGTGAAAATCAGCGTCATCCACCTTACTCAGTGCTCTTCTCGTTGATTGAGAACAACTTCTTCAATCATCACCTCTACGATCAATGGTTGAGAAAACGAGCCAAAGCCAAAACTGCCGACTTCATCGCCTCTAGAAATCGAAAATTTCAAGAAACTGATATACAAATGCCTTGCATTATCCCTTTAGTTAATAAGGACTAGTCTAATTTGAGATATGCCACTTTGAAAATGCAAATTGAAATCAGACATAAATTTTTGGAAGACCTAATACCTGGAAGAGTTATGCATTTCTGGGCATGATTTCGAGAGGGTTTCGCAATGAAAAATAACGATGAGAAGTACCATTGGCTTACTGAACACCTTTATGAATAACAGAAATTTTGAGCGGTTGAAAGTCCTCAACATTGAGAAATTGTCGAGACGATACAATAACGTGTTATTACTAGATTTGGAAAACTAACATCAACTTCATTTCAAATTTGCAAATCGAACGAAAAACACGTAAATTTCTTTTTCATGAGACGACCCCATGCTTTGTAGAACCTCATCACTTACATTCGATTCGTTTCCTTGCATGCATATTCAACGAAAGTTTTTGGGCTTTGGCGCGTTCATTTGATGCTTGAAAATTTCCGATCTTTTTTTTTTTTTTATGAATTCTGAGCATGCCGAGAAACCTAGTCAAGTCGATTCTCACTAGAATTTATGGATAGCCATTCTAGGGCGTTCCGAGCACACATATATATACATGCATGAATATATATATACATATACATATATATATATATAAATACCAGGATCGACTTTCTCTTTACCTCGGCGTTGGCCAATAATTCACCGCATTCTTGATGAGCTAATAGAAGGTTGCTACGACAGCATTTATTCTTTCCAATAACTGACACTTCGGCCGTTTCGCCTTCTTCTGAGCTTGGAAAAGTGAAGCTGACTTGCAATCTATCCAGCCAAACACTTTCATAACCCTTGCAGATAAGACTTAATGCATAAATTCCATAATTAATACACAGATACAAACTCAAATAAATATGCACGTGTATCCATGTATACATATATGTATATATGTTGTATATACATATTGTATATAAGTACATCATATACTACATACGTATTGCATATATATATAATATATATATATATATACGCACATCCACGTTTACGCTCCATATTATAAGTACAAATAGTTTTCATTACGGAAGCATTAAGGGACGAGTGAAAAGCAGTTGTTAGAAATACACAATATATACACATACATGTACATATGTATATACATATATGTATATATACAGATGTAGGTACATACGTATACATACATACACATACGTAGCACACAAGTAGGTTTGCACGCATATAAATGTACCTAGGTATATAATATAATATATATATATATATATACAAGGTGTATATTATTGCAATATTTAGTGGCACTATCTGACGTTTCGGCGCTCTCGAACTCCTTAGAGCCTGGAAAGGTGAAACTGACATGCAATCTTCCCAGTTAGACACATTCATAATCTCGACATATTAAACTTGATAAATGAATCTTATTCACCCAATAAATAGCTTCCTTTAGAAATTCACCGTTATGCTCTTCACACGTCTTTCAGTTATTGTTGGAGAATAGCTCCATATAGCTTGACATGGGTGAGGAATGTGCCTGGCGCAGGTCAAAAAAATTAACCTGATGTATGGCGTAAGGGTCGCGTGTAGCCCAGTGATCCTGGGCGCCCTATGGTACATACGGGATCGATCTCGGCACCCCAGGCCCGCCAAGCCCTCCATCCCTCCGGGTTCCGCAAATTGGTATCAGACTTGTCTGGACGATTAGCAACACTGATTTGATACATTCGCAGGCCACTGCGAGTCGTTGTAAAGATTAAATATAGATTCAATCATCTACAACGATGCTTAATAAAGTCGGATGCATGGCGCATCCCCCACGGATAAATCAACACCGAGAGCCTAATTCCTTTTTTTAATTGCGCGAGGTAGCGATGTTTGTTAAAAGATAAAAGATAAAGCTCTCGGCGTTGATCAATCCCTGAGAGATACACCGATAATTTCACTTCATCAAACATAGTTGGATATGAATGAATGCACTTCTGGCCTTCACAATGACTCTCGCTGGCTTGCCGATGTTTCGGATCAGTGCTAATATCCTCCTAGACAGGTCTGATACCAATTTGCCGAATCTGGAGGCATGCAAAGCTCAGTGAGTCTGGGGTGAGTGATCGATCCCATGTGTACGGCAGAGCGCCTCTAACGACTACATTAAACACGCCCCTGTTTGTTATACGAATAAAACTTACGTGTTAAGTCCTATATGCTGAATTTATGAATGTTACTGAGTAGATTGCATGTTAGTATAACCTTTCCAGACTCTGAGGAAGGCGAAAACGCTGAAACGTCGGATATCATGAATAAATGTTGTAATGACAGACATACCTGCTTGCAACGTCACATAATGATCTCTCTCAAAGAACTTCAGGTTCCTGGATCGATGTCGAAGTTGGAAGCATCGTTTGCTGTTCCCAATGAGGAATGGTGAGAGCCCATAAGAACCTAGAACTAGCACTACAAATAACCTCTTCCGTCCCGTATGGACACTACATTTTCCGCATTGAGTTTCTGGGGCTCCAGAGTTTTTTTTTATCGTGCCATTTTAATTAAATAGCAGATCGAATAGATCTTTCTAATCGAAAGCAGATCGAGAAGTAAGGGATGGGACCAGAAAAACCGTTCTTTACACTTGACAAACTACAAGAAACCTTTTTTTCACAAAAAATTCATTGACCAGTAATTTGACTAAGAACTTATTGTTACTTCATTTAATCGTTATGATTACTGTATAGAATGTGTAGAAATAAAAATACCGAAATAAACTCGATATAAGCTTCAAAATACTTCTTCCAATCGACGACAGTAATGAATTTACACAAATACACCATAACGACACAGAGCAAATAGTAGCATACATATCATCCATACCCATAGCATACATATCATCCATACCCATCCATACCGATACAGAAAAGCTTCTACAACTCTGTCATATTCGAAACTTTTCAAGCCCTCTAGCTATTACGACGAGACTTTTCATTGTCAAAAAAACACAGAAGGTCCGAAGCCAACAAAAAATTGCCCGCATTCGATGGGGTAGTCACAAAAAGGCGGCAAGCAAAGAATGGGTTAATGCAAAACGATAAGCTCAAGGCGTAAAATACGTTATTTAGCAAAGTGGTCCCCTAGTTCGTAAAAATGCTAGTTAGTAGTAGAAAACTACTAAGTCGACACCTTCACAGGAAGTAACCAACACTAAGAGGACGAGATCCTCGCACAGTTTTTTGGCTACTCGAACTGCAGAGCACACTTCGTAATACGAATGACCCATGCGGGTTTCCACCGGTCAACAATTCTCAGTGGAGCGAGCTCCTCTTACTACTAATTAGTACTGTTATACTGTTACTTTCACTGTTATTGTTAATCTTACTCTTACTGTCATTGTTATTGCTACGATTTGTTGCTAAATGCTTAAAACCTCGTTCATCCTCTAGTGGTATTTAGATAACAGAGTGATGTCAATTGAGTTGCGTTTGCTGGAAATGTCATTTAAATGTGAAAGAAGTTATCCTTTGTTTTCGAGTTATCACCTTTTCATAACTTTCAGTATGTTACGAGCCTTAGCTCGACGCTGTTCGTCCTCAAAATGCGTTGGAAACACATCATGGTGGAGGACAGATGTGAATACAAGCCTTATTCATAATTCTTTAAAATTAGTCCAACCCCAAAAAAAGGGTGTTATAGAGATGTCTATCAATATTGCGGAGCTCTGTCTGTGATCGAACTCAGAAGCGCAGCATAATCTTCAAAATGGGGAACGAAACACCTACGAGAGTTGTGGGATATTATGTTGTGTAGGTTATAAGCTCTACTAGAAAGTCTTAGATAGAAAGATGTAGTTAGGGTTTTCATGACTGCAGATTTCCTCACATTCCTGATGAAACTGTGGAGAACAATAGTTTCTTGAGCAACATCGCTATGGGTAGGGATTGGCCGACATTGTCTACATCTTCTCCGAAAGTAAGGATGCTGTGTTAGTACAGTTCAACTTATTAAACACCGTGTTTGCTTTAGGAAATGTATGAGGGCACCGTACGTATGCTTATGGAATACGGTGCTACATGCATGGAACATCTGGAGCTTATAGAAAAATGTAAGATTTTAAGTAGCATTGCAAGTACACCTTCATTTTTTAGGTATATAGCTCACTTTGCTTTAACTAATTGTATTAACCCACGAGCACGTTTTGTCAACATTACTTGGACACTTGGATGACCCGTCTTCACGGGTTGCACGGACCTCGGCATAATTTCCACTTTTTTGGGAGTTTTTCTGGTTTAGCTATTGTGGTTCCCTGGAATCCCGAAATCAGCGTAGCCAAAGTCTGCCCTAAGTCGTCACCATTACAGGCAGTTGCAGCCCTTGTGGAGCAGAGGGAGATTTGTCACCATGCAACTAGTTTAATACCAGGGCGGTGGTGGATCCTGGTATTGCTTTACTCTTAGCTAGGCTTCCTAATGGAAACGCCGGGCTCTTTTTCAGCCTGGGATACCCTGCCGGGGGATGAACCCCTCGTTTACATCGCAGCCCGACACCCAGGAACACTTCCCAGCCACGATAAGGTGGTAAACCGTTCGAAGGTTTGTCAACATTTGCTGACTATAATTCTCAACCGTTGGTTCTCTTTACTTTAAGCAGAAGGTTTTCATGGTCAGTTTAGCTGTTTTCCCTTTTACTCGTACAAATATTATTTAGTACCTCCTGAAGAACGCACGTTCGAAACTGTGGTTGAGCCACTTCTAACGGAGGAATACGACGTGGATTATGCCTTGCAAACACTTTTGCTTAAAATGCTGACAGATTGGCCTGACTGTAATCGAAATGTTTTCGACGCAGATCTACATCATGTACATTTTTTTAAAACATATTCATGCCTTGTCTTTTGAAATTCTTGACATAACCGCAATGATGCTTAGATGTTTGTTGGTGTGGTGGTGAACGCATTACCCTCCGGAAAGAGTGATAGTGTGTTCGATACCCACCGCAGACACATTTGGTTCAGAGTTTTGCAAATATTTCAGCATCACCGTAGTTGTATTTCACGTAGTACCCTGCCGTAAAAAATTGTACTAGACAGTAAACAACAAGTTAACATCGTGACTCTTGGGGTATTTGCAAGTGTTCTCAACATCCATTGCTTCCGTATTCTGGGTGCAATATTTAGATCAAGATTATGAGTGCACGCGATCGCATGGAAAAGCTATCCAGCTTAAATTTTCAAATAGCGATTAAGGTAAGACCTAATCTGTGACCTGTAAATTCACTTGTTTGCCTGGTCATGTTTTTTAGTAGGGTTTTTTAGCAGCTTTATGATGCGAAGAACGGTTTATCGACATGGCAGCTACGCCTTCTCGAGTGGTATTTGTTAGAGGTAATTTCTAAATTCCGTTGTCATTGTTTTTCAAGTATTCAAAGTAGACGTAAGGAACTGACTTCTTTATTCTTTCCGGCTGAAAATTTCATATATCAAGTCAACCAGCTTCCCTATGTGGTAGCAACTGACTTTATTCTTTTCGCCTGAAGACTTCATGTATCAAGTCAACCAGCTTTCTTATATAATAACATGTTGAAAACACTTTTAAGATGTCGTATTTATTTTGTATGTCTTAGAAGTGTTATGAATCGCCACAGAATTGTATATAGTACAAAATCTTAAAGCGACTGAATGTAGTGCAACATTATAAAGCAGTATTGAAAACTATTTCTAAGGTACGCGCAAGCGGCTTGGATATAACAGATGAAAAATCGCGAAAGCTGATTGGATCATGGAACAAATTCATAGATGAGTTCCGGAGCAAGTATATGTGGGTTTTACGATACTTTTTGATGCACAAAACTTTGTCTTTAAATCCAGCTATGAACTGTCACTACCAGCGCAAGCCTGACCTTAACAACTGTTGATTGGAAGCTTTGCTTTTTCGTGGTCGAATGACTTGTTAAATGAGGAGTGACAAATGATGGGTTGGCAAGTGGAATTTTTCAGCTCAAATATTATGGCAACAAACGACCAGCATATTTTTACGGTTACCGATAAAAAAATGCTGAAAGATGCTCCACCTCATATTTTGCAAAAGCTCGCGATCAATCCGTGAGTTTAATCCCTGTTTGTTTGTAGATGTTTCTTCAAATCCTAAATAAGTAACAAGACGGACTGTTCTCGAAATACACGTCTATTAGGTTTGACATATATTTATTTATGTGTTCTTGTGAGCTGGTCTTGATGAGCTGACGCCAGTGGTATAAGTTGTCATTGTTGTTGTTGTTGGTCGATGGCTGACGTTTCGGCCATTTCGCCTTCTTCAGAGCATGGGTAGTCGCCTGGGTGGTCCCACTCACAACATGAGGGTTCTGAAGAAGGGGATATCATCGAAATGTCACCCATCAACCAACAACAACGACAATTTATACCAACCTCGCATCAGCTCAACAAGATCAGTTCATAAGAATATATTGATAAATATATCAGTTATTTATGCCGAGGTTTGTAGAAAGTCGGTTTTTTGACTTATAAACGTTCAATATAGTTTGTTCAGTGCTTTGTATGGTGCTTTAGAACACAGTGGGAACATGGTCCATGGCGTGGCCGCATGACACCTCACACGCTTTATCCATTTTTACAATATTGCGAAAATCGCCAATTGAGAGCGGATGCCTGGGAAAAATGGATAAATAAGGCGCGTACAAAGTGTTTCAATTTACATGTAAAATTTGTTTTTCTGTGTAGTACTACAGGCGGAAAAGTTTCTCTGCTGTTTGTTTTAGGCATCTTTCGACCATGATTTTTACAACAATTCTATAAATGTCGAGGAGCTCCGACATAATAAGTTGGTAGTTACTTGGATATTGTTCGTTATCGCTTTTCCATTCCATCATTTTCATTTAAACTTGGAGCATATTTCCAGCGAAGGTCTCGCGAAAGCTTTAGGCTACACATCGGTTGCAGAGCATCGACTGGCAAACAAAATGGCTACATCTCCTGAAACTGTCCGAAACTTCTTGAATGCGTAAGACCTTTTTCTTCCAATTGTTCTTCATTCGTTGTGGCGAAATACTATCGAAAGATAAGCATTCAGGCTGACCCGCCGTATTCGTCCAGTTTTCATAGATCGGATGGAATCGTGGACAGCATTTGCACAAACCCAGGAACTTATGTCCTCTAATTTACAAGCCTATGATATGGCGTACATTTGTAGAAAGGAAGCTGAACAACTTTACGAGTAACCTGACTCATATTGGTAATTGACTTATTCGATCTTAAATGCTTGCATTTTTAGTGTCGACCCACTAGATTTGATGGGTCACTTCCCATTTTGGCCAACGTTTCAAAAGTTGACGAACATTACTGAGCAAATATTCGGTTTACATTTCAAGGTACATAGTGCTTCTAATTTCGTGATTGCGTCAAACGCTGTAATTTATTTCTAGGACGTAACGGACGAGGGTCTCGAACGAGTGCATTCCGACGTGCGGATTTTCAGCGTGAAGGACCTCGCCACTGATGAACACTTGGGAAGATTATACATCGATCCCTATGATAGGGAAAATAAACGTGGTGGATGGAATGCGCTACTCGGCCGTAGTGAGTAGTTTTGAAGCGGTTGTGTCTTCTTTTCGAGCATGGATGTCATTCTTAGTCCTGCTCCTAGTATCACTCTATTAGTGTTATGTTGAAATGTGTTTCCGTTTGTCAAACACAAAATTGCAGAAAAGGTGGAGATTTCGGTATTGTAAAAGAAGCTAATTCATTGACTAGAAAGCAAGTGTGTAGTGCATAAATTTAAATAGTACAACATTGTTGGAACACGTGTGCGTAGTGGTCGGAAGCGCTCTGCAATAAACATAGGATCAATCCCCGTGCCTCAGGCCCACCAAGCCATACATCCCTCTGGGGTCGGTAAATTGGTGCCAGACTCTTCTGGAAGAATAGCAGCACCGGCTCGATACATCGTTAGGCCACTGCGAGTCATTGTAAAGGCCAGATGCGCATTTAGTCACCTTCAACGGTGCTTGATGAAGTCGAATGTATTGCGCGTCCTTTAGGGATTGACCAACTTCAAGCGCTTTTTCCTTTATCCTTTTACAACATTTTTACTTGCTCTTGGAAGAACCACTATTTACACTTTTCGATATTTGTGGATGCACAGTCATCTTGAATCATGAGATTATGTTATATAATATTTCCTTGTAATAGTGGAGTCTAAAGCCCGGAACCTCGACAAGATTGTATATTTGGTTGGATCTGCTATTGCACCTACACATACCGCACCGTCTCTTCTTCATCATCAACAACTTCAGCAGCTGCTTTTCTATGTAATAGATTCTCTATATGCTTAGAGAACTCGACCAACATTTAATGCTAAAACTCGATCGTATTAAGGTTGGACGTTCCTTACAAATGTTATTGTCGCGTTCACCATATCGAGATATCGCTATTCCATGGGCACCATTTTATGCTAGTGATTGGGATGCAGCTGATGCAGTTCCGGCATTCTTACAGTTCTTCGTGTACAAACCTACCTTACTTCAGTCTCTTAGTTCCCCTCACATTGTGGGTTTAATTTCGTACCTTTTTCTGGTTATGGTATTGGTTCAAATGTCTGTTTTTTAGGTTAGTGACACCACAATATCAGATGATAGGGCGAACAACATATGTCTTGCACTGTCACGAGCCACCCTTTGGGACTCTTATCGTACCTTATTTTGGTCAGATTTCGACCTAACCGTATTTGAAATGGAAGATAGGAAGTGCGTAGCATCATATTTCGTCTGTAATTTTGGTTTCAATTTCATCGGATTGGAGCTTTTCAGACAGAAGTTTTGGCTTGATTTATATCGTGAAATGTCTGAAGAATACTTCCCTTTTAAAACTTCAAGGAACGATTACCATCCATGCTCATTCATACCAATATTTGGTCTTCAACCCTATATGGGAATGTATTATCGTAAATTGTGGACTGAGGTTGGCACATTAGGATTTCTAAAGATTCATCAAAGGATTGCGATCCAAAAGACAGTTCATTTCTTTATTACCATTCAGATGCTAGCACTGGATATTCATGAAACTTTTGATTTCGAAAACGATGTCAGGAAAACTGGTGATCGATTGAAAGCAACGATACTTTCTCGAGGATCTGGAGACATGGCGAAGGAGCTGTATCGACGATTCCAGGTGTTTTCTTCGTCTTTTTTTGAAGAAGCTTACCTGATTTTTGAAAGCATTTTACTTTGTGTGAATTCCATGTCAGAAAAAGGATATCATGATTTTTACTTTCTCCAACGTTTCGAAAATATCGCTGTTGTGTAAAAACCAGGCATAGAAATTCCCTGACCCGTATTCTAAAAAGATTTTTCTTATACCTTACACATCTTCATGAAATGATCGACGTTATGTTTTCTATTAACGTTGACTTTACGAACGCGTTTTCACGTCTGTGATAGTAGCCACGCAAGCTTATTGAAACCGACTTTCTCTATCCATTAAGGGACATTTTGCAACTGTACATTGCTCATTCTAGGATGTTATCTGACTTTCTGAAGAACGTTTTAGGATTTGTGAAAACAGTACAAAACAACCTAGTCAGCCGAACGCATCTATAAGGCTGACAGAACATCCACGGTCCCTAATTTTTCGATCGCATTGAATATTAGATGTGGTTTTCCCGTCGGGATTACGTGTTTGGTTGGCTAGGTTTCAGTTAAAGTGACTCTTCCACGCTCTGAAGAAGACAAAATCCGCCGAAACGTATGGTGCTGTGAATAAGTAATGTATATTAACAATTTCATGTGTGCTTATTAAGAAAAGTGAATTATTTATGTTCTGAGATGAATGGAAAGTTAATATTGGGAATTGCAGTGCAGCAGGTTTTGAACAAGACACATCCCAGATCTCGAATAGCTAGGAAATTCCTCATTAATGGAATCGTTTTATATTTGTTAACAAGTAAGTAGTTAGGGTCGTTTTGGAAATCTCCAATAAGCTTAATTAAAATATTGCTCATAACCTGTAGTAGTCGAGTCGTGTTCTCGTTATGAAACACGTTGTCAGGAACGCATAGAGGATGGACAAAAAGATTCCTAGTTCAAAAGTCATTCAAAGACTTCCATAGACAACCTAGCGGTGTCAGATTTCAATACAATGCTGTAAATGTTCGCCTTTTGTGATAACTTCTGTCCAGTAATTGCCTTCATATTTCAAATTTGGAAAGAATATTTCTCTTAACTGTTGTACTGGTTGTGTGGCATTAATTCATGCTATGCAACTTCACACTCTTCCATACCTCAAAATTTGTGCAGCTTTATCCGCTTCAGAGCGCAATCAGTTCTGTCTGCAGTACTCATCTTTTCAAAAAAAAATGTGTCTTTGTTACTTTCCTACAAAGAACTGACCGATGCGTAAGCGAGTTTTCTGTTCGTTTTGTCAGGATTTGTAACCAAACACCATCTTCCATTAGGTAGTCAAACTTCTTCTGATGTTTATGTCTCTAGCATTACAAAACAAGGAATTTCCGCGATAGCTCTTCTCGGTTGACTTTTTTTTAGAAAATTTTTATTCCTTGTGGAAAACATGTAGTGTTTCTTATGAGAATGAAATTGTTAAACCACAACGTTGCTGAGATATTTGCAAAACTCTGGACCGCAGGTGTCTATGGTGGGGAACGAACGCGCTATTATCCTTTCCGGGGAGTAACGCGTTCACCACCACACCATGCGGGTCCTTTGTTTCGCACGTCTCTCAGCTATTTCTATCGATCTTTTTGCCACAGCAATCACCCGTCAGCGGGGTTGATCTGGGGAGCGCAAATCGGCATAGAACCCAGTTAAGCTATGGCTGTAGTTGAAATCACAATGTTTAACGTTTTGTTTTCTGCCTTCTATAATTTTCATGGCAGGTTACTAAGCGAAATACAACCACAACGTTGCTGAGATATTTGCAAAACTCTGGACCGCAGGTGTCTATGGTGGGGAACGAACGCGCTATTATCCTTTCCGGGGAGTAACGCGTTCACCACCACACCATGCGGGTCCTTTGTTTCGAAATTGTTGATTTTTGTAAACGTGCTAAACTAACACTATTTTTGCGGCCGTGGAATCAAGCTCCTGATAAATCCCTGAATATGTATAATCTCTGTATGTATAATCGTTCATTATGTTAAATTTCCGATGTATATATATGGCCCATCCTGACTGGTTGTGCGGGCCCAGTATAATCTCCACTTTTCGGGGATTTGCTGGTTAAGTCATTGTGGTTCCTGCAGTTCCAAGCTCAACCTGACGAAAGTCCGGCCCAAGTCGTCACCACCACAAATAGTCGCCGATATTGTGGATGAGAGGGAGATTTGCCACTATGCCACTTTGATACCATTGATAGCAGGACGGTGGTAGATCCTTGTATTAGTTTACTCTTAGCTAGGCTTCCTGATTGAAACGCCGGACTCCTCAGCATGGGAGACCCTGCCTGAGGATGAATCCCCCATTGTACATGGCAATCCAACACCCAGGAATACCTCTTTGCCACGATGAGGTGGTAAACCATTGGGAAGATATATACACATCTACATATATCATATACTCGGCTGAAGCTTTTGATGGCATTTATCCCGCTGAGCATTAGTGGAGCATCAGAAACAAATCCGTTTGTAATAGACGTAGTGCAACCATCCTAGTATGACAGTTAACGATATTTCGGTGGGTTTTTGAAAATACTCTTCCCAACTTTTGGAACTGTAGCCATTACTCTAGTCTCCTTATGATCTTTCATATCCTTTCTGCAGAATTTTTCAAATTCACACGAGAGTTGCCGATCGTCTACTGCGATTCTGCGTTCATGTGTTAGGTCGTGAGTTTATGAAGGGAAGCATGTCATGGTCACTTGAGAACTCTGTAGTTTATACTACTGACGAAAACTGAAGAGTGTCATACTTTCCAAATGCGTAGTACGATGCATGGAAGAAATACCCTGTACATACATGGCAACAAAAAACACGGGAATTGTAAAGAAACACAAATGCCGAGTTATAGAATTCCAAGTGCAGCAAAACAGGCGGAATCGCTTCCTGAGGAGAGATTGGCTGGTGTGAGTTGATATCACTGTAAAATTAATGCGCTAAAAACGTAGGCTTCAAATAGATGCAGCAGCCACACAGAGTTAAGCCCTGGTTCCCAAATGTTAAGAGGTTCTATTTATTTATTCTCTTATTCATGACCCGATTTCACATATCGTGCGGATCCTAGCATCTCTCGCATTTTGTTCGTGTTATCATATCCATCCACTACAGTTTACGGATTTGTCTACTGCATGAGGATTTTCACTTTTCTTTGTTGCTGAATGCAGGTCGACTCAATTCTCTATGGAATACTGGGATAGCCATACTAGGGCGTTTCCGAATCGTCATCCTAGCTTCTCGTGGATTGGAAAAGGCGCGCTGAGCGCAGATGCATACGAGTCGCATCAAGTTTCCAACCCCGGTAGGACGAGGGGCTTTTGTACTAATTGAATCACCCCTTACTTTCTCCCTCGCCCAAATGCACCCCATCAAATTGATCTACCTTTTTTGTTCTACTTTTCTCGCTATGATTCAGCTTCTTGTGTCCCTTCTTGATAATCATTATGTTTTCTTATCCTACATGTTCTTTACGGTATTCTTTGTATATTTCCACTTTTTTTTTGAGCACATCCTATTCTTGAATATGATGAAAAAGCTGGTCATTGATCCAGCCATTTTGTTATCAGCATTCGAGAAATAGTGAATATAAGGATTAATCTGAAAAAGTGTTCTTTGTATATTTCTAAGTTCAGAATAGAGCCTTTCCCAGAAGACGCCTCTCACAAATACACTGAATAAGCTATTGATTGATAGCAAAAAGTGCAACAGAGAAGCTATATGCGGTAAAATAAACGGTCCAAATGAGTGCGTCATATATGACTCCTCTCGCCACCTATGAATAGTCGTAGCCATTCGATAAATAATGGGCTGCAAGTTAATTCTGGACGCTTGCATAATGTTCAAGATTGGGCAAAAAAGAAATCGTATAGCGCGACTTCGCAAGTAGTGAATACCGCTTGGACTGAACGTATTGTATTTTTTGTCAGTGCTGATGCGGAAACGATAAGACTAGCGGTGATTTGTGTGATAAATGATATCTCAAATTTTGATGAACTTTTTTGATAGTATGGTTCCACAAGTTTCCATACCTTCTAAATTATGATATAGTAATTTGCCCGAAACGTTGGAGAAATTAGTGACTTTGCCTAATTTGATTTCCACTCTTTGAATTGTGCTGTGTTTCAAAGCATGCCTTGTTACATTAATTAATAAAGTTATCATCATCTAGTAAAATTGTAGGGTCGTGACCCCAGCGTTGGTGCGATATGTGACTTTTACGATCCACCTTCGTTCTACCATTTGGGAACAGAAATTGGTAACGTATAAAGAAGGTTACCATTAACATCTATTAATTAATTAGCTATGTGGAAAAAAACGCATATATAGGCATTTAGTTCCCAAAAGCGATCGTTGTTATAGTTTGTTTAGAACTGGTGAATTTGTTCTGTTGAAATGTTTCTTCATTTATATTTATTTAGGGCAGTACTTTGTCATGCTTCGTTGTTTTATTATATTTAGCGGCATAAAGTCGCATCTTTCACTTGTGCTATTTTACGATGCCAAAATTAGCTGATAGTGATCATATTGTATGTTTTGAATCTGGGCTATATTTGGTACTAATAGTATAACGTAACCCTACGGGCTGTACTGTGGAGGTTAGGAATACGTCACGTGTAGCTTGTTGGCTCTCTCCGAGCGATTTCAAAGAACTCCCCGCATAGCGCAAGCACCTGGTTGCAACAAACTTTCAGTCCATTCGATATGAAAAATCGGCATTTACTAGAACACTGGCAGTCGCTGATTCTTATGGATCAAGATGGTGATCCCCAGGACAGTGGTTTCCTTCTAGTAGGATGCAGAAGATGAAATTTCGATGTTCTTCCTAGCTTGCGTATGAATATGATTACGTTCGTGCAGGAGGTAGAAGCAGATTAGGCGTAGAAAGGACAGAAAACTCATCTCAGGTCGTAGCAGGAGCAAAGAGATGTTTGTTTTCTAAATAGATTATTTACTTGTTCACAATTAATTAGGATATACCACGCAGGTTTATGACAAGTATGCTCGGGATCCCTCACATAAGGTAGTTTGTCGAAACTTGCTTCTTCTGTTTGAGTTGCCGCTATTGTATGGTGGTGTTTGATGGGAAAACAATAAAAAAAGAGATGTCCACATATTGCCTTTGTTGAATAAATTGTTTATAGGATCTCATTGTTTCCTTGTTAATATTGTAGTTGGTTCATTGAAACAAATTATGGTTTCGGTCGTCATTCTGTTTTGTGCAGTACAATATTCTCTGAATACCTGTTTTCATTGTTAATTGATTGTGTCGATTGCATCCTTCCGGTTCCCATCACAAGATTTTGAGTGATGGCGAGTATCGCTACTACAGCAGCTGGCGACACGAAAACACCCGAAGTGACCGTTGTTACTGAAGTTCCGCCGAGTTTGCACAGAGCGTTGTTGCTAATGGCCAAGAACTTCTTCTCTAAGGTTTCGTTTCGTGGAATAATTTTACTGAAGTAGTTTTACACGTTCAGAACTAGTCACAGAGGCCGAACTTCTTGTTGTTACGATTTTCGGTGAATTACGGGTAGCAACTGAGCAGCTGCCCCCCATATTTTTCTATTACAGGAGCATTATCTTGTTGTTTATTACATAATGAGATCTGTTTGCATACGAGAGGAGATTCTGAGAAATCGACTGAACTTCGAGCAAAGGCACTTGAGGCAGGTTTGTCTCTGTTGTACTATTCACTTTCTAGCAACTCCAAACTAACTTCCAGTTGATTGCGGCACTCAAAAACGAAAAACTAGTGAAGGATCGGCTGCTTCAACAAAAGAATGAAACCGGCAGGAACGTATCGATCATCTTTTATTTCATTAATTATCGTGCTATCATCAACGTACTAAAATATAAAATTGATCACATGAGGTTAGTTTGTGCTTTTAAATAGACATATATGTGTTGTTTTTGTCGCCCTATGGAGTTTTATTTCCTATGCGTCTATATATGGCACATATTCAGACAAATGTTAGAAGCAAGGGAAAAAAATGAGCTGCAGAAAGCCAATTACAAGTGTGAACAATGTGGCGCTCAATATGAGGTGAGTTAGATAGTTAGTAAAATGAAGGTTGAATAGGATTTTCACATGAATGCACACGCCGTTTTCATTCCAGTCAAGTTACTTCAATATCGCTTTATACGAGGTTCGTTGTATGCGCAACATGGTAATCTTTGTGAAGACTTTGTAGACGGAAAAACAAGTTCGGATGTACTTGCGCAGATCTCTTTGGTCCTCCTCATTGAACAGCAACACTATGTTTTATTCCTTCTTTGATAAGCTTACACGAGATTGGTAAATAATAATTATTTTCGGCTAACGTTTCGTTTTTGTTTACGATTAAAAAGATGTGTATCAATTCCGGCTTTGAAAGTCTTCGTCGTTTACACGGCGACATCAAACTATGACGAAGAAGAAGTCGAAACGTTATATATGGACATGGAGAAGTTCTACAGAAGAAGACTATGCATTCCTCATGGTCATCATTGGAGATTTCAATGCCAAGATTGGACCAAGAAGAACGTCTGAAGAAGGTCACATTAGGACTCACGGATTACAACGGAACGAAAAGGGTGAGCGGCTATATCAGTTTATCATGGCGACCAACACCGTCCATGGTAACTCGCAATTTCAGAAGCCCCACTCTCAACGATGGACGTGCGAGTCTCCCAGTGGGCAGTACCATAGCAAAGTAGACCACCATAGTACCATAGTAAATATACCATAGTAATATAGTAATTAATATTACCATAGTAAATCGAAAGTTTTGCCTTACCAATCGCCGCAGTCCCAAAATTCTACACAGGATCAGATCATCGCCTCCTTCGTGCAAGATTTCATTTTTCGCGGGAAGGACAAAATGCCGGTAAATTTAAAAAACAAATTCTCCAAACCATCATAAACTGGGGTTTACACAATTCCCCAGTCGGTTGGTGGGAGGATACCGTTCTCGATAACGTCGAGGAAGAATGCGATCGGCTCATTCAACATCGTTACGTTAGCGCTATGAGCGCTGAGAGTTCGAAAATCACCAAGAGATGTCTGTCTCTAGAAACCCTCGAGCTGACACGCCAGCGTTGAATCGCATGAGCTGCAGGCAAACGCGAGCTAACGTCCGGATCTGCAAAACAGTACAGACAGGCGGTAAAAGAAGACCTTAAAGAGAGAAGAGCAGCAGTAATGGTGGACGCTGCAGAGGCTGGGAAAAGCATTCACAAAACCCACCGAAGCTTCGCCAATTACAAGAACAAAACGATTGCTCTCCGGTGCCCAGACGGACAGTCATAGTGTCCAGAAAGGCAATGGAGGAAATCATTCACGAATAATTCTTCGTATTTTTGTTGAGCAAACGCATGGTGTTATTCTTTATTCACGAATAAGCTGACGTTTCGGCGGATTTCGCCTTCCTCAGAGCCTGGAAAGGTCAAGTTGATAGCAATCTACTCGGCCAGACTCCTCCATAACCAAACAAAGAAACTCTAAACCAAGATTTCAATCACATTGAACACAATCATTTCTATGAGGTTTCCACTAAGTATGTCACGTAGAGATCAACCGCACAGAAATCACATGGAAGCATAATGTGCCCCTCCCATCAGAATAGCAGTCTTATTTACTGCCCTATATCACGCGTGATAATGAGGCATTCTTCCCTGCGGTTTATTTTTGGATTTCTAGAGTTAATCCAGAGTACCTCGAGAGTTTTTCTGTGTTCTTGATTCGCGTGCTAGGATCGTGACACATACTTCAAAGTCCTCCCCGTTATGTCTCTGGGTCCTATACGTGCCTAGCGGAGTATTTGGTCTATGTTTGCCGGCTAGGTGTTCTTTTATGCCGACACAGAGGGGTCTGCCGTTTCGCCAATGTATTCGTCACCGCACTTCTTACAGGAGATCAGATAAACTATACCCGTGCTCATGCAATCACAAATTATGCAATTTTGAGTTGCACATAGACGGTCATATAGGCGGTTACGAACTAGCTGACGCTTAAGATTACTCGGTGATATTTCAGCTACGCTTACCGAATTCTCTGAGCCCGCCCTTCTTAAGCAGCGTTTTGTAGCACTACTTATATCATTTGAGATGAAGTGTAGGATAAACGGCACCCTTCTATCGCTAGAGTTGTTGTTTGGAGGCCTAGGATTTCCCCTACACCTATCCTGAGCTACAGTTTCATAGCCATTAGAAATGGCTATTTGCCGTGCCAAGTTCCGGGAGTTCTCTCTCTGCTCTCTTCCCGTGCACACGTTGATTGCTGTTCGAAACATGTTTCTTATAAGGGCCCTTTTCGTGTGAGAGAGGTGAGAGGAGAGGTAATGAACCAAGATGTTTTTACTACTTGGCTTTCGTTACCACTTTGTAATGTAGCCATTTTCTGACAAGTGAATTTGTACGTTCAGGAATGGAAGCCATTTTTCGTTCGGCTTTTCTCGGGTGAACTTGACATACTCACAAAAACTACTCACTACTAAACTATACTTTCTTGATTTACTCATTCACGAATACTACTCGGTTCTCTTCGATAGCCACGTCCATCTTCCGTCATATGAAATAAAGGAGGATGGATATGTTGCACCACCGGTTCTCCCTTTCGAAATTCGGCATGCCGTTTCGTCGGCGAAAAATCGAACAGCGCCAGGTCCGGACAGAATAAGATCAGAACACCAGAAGAACCTTCCACCAGTCCTCATAAACACACTGGCTCAGCTCTTCACACGCTACCTCTCTGAATGCAAGGTCCCTACTTAGTGGAAGACCAGCAAGATGTCAAGAAAATTTCCACTCGAGTGTTTCTAAACATGATTGATAGAACACTGGACGAAGGACAATCATGTGAGAAAGAAGCAGGGTTTCGAAAAGGATTTAGTACGATGGACCACATCCACATGATAACAAGGCTCATTGAAGTATCGTGGCACTACTCTGTCTCACTTTCATCGATTTATAGAAGGCCTTTGATTCAATTATGATAGAAGCAGTCATAGAAGCACTTGATAGTCTAGGAGTCCCTACTCAGTACATTAAGATTCTTCGTGAGCTGTACAAAAATTTCACAACGAAGATATCACCATTCTACAACGATATTAACATTGAAGTCAAAAGAGGAGTTAGGTAAGGCGATACCATCTCGCCAAAATTATTTACCGCTACTCTCCAGAACGTCATACGAGCATTGGAATGAGGTAACATGGGAGTGAAAATCGATGGTCAGCAGTTACACCACCTTCGATTTGTTGATGACATCGTCCTTATAACAGCAAACATTGGCCAAGCGGAACGTATGCCGTTCGACTTCGACAAAGCCTGTATAAAGATTGGTCTTCAACTAAATCTCATAGAAGCGATGTTCATGAGGAACAGATTGGTTTCGTATGCCCATTCATGCTCAGCGGAACGAATATCTCCGTATGCTCCAGTTATGTCTATCTAGATTGGGAAATCAACATAGTGAACGACTTGGCTCCAGAGTTTAGCAGAAGGAAATGAGCGGCTTGGGGAGCTTTCAAGTGCATGGAGGATATAGTGAGGAGAAGAAAGAACACCCGACTCCGTGCCCACTCTTTCGATTTAGCGATACTTCCTGTGTTAACGTATGCGTTAGAAACGTGGTCGCTGTGAATGCGCAGTCGGAAGGACGATGCTAGGAGTATCCTGTTTCGTCAGAAATCGAAGGTGCCGTTCTGTACGAGAAACGGTGGAAGATAAGGTAGGCCGGAAACGTAATGCGTATGAATGACAACCGATGGACACGAGTTGTTAGTGAATGGATTCGTCGAGATGTCAAACGTACTGCAGGAAGACCGTTGACCCGATGGTCAGAGTTTTTCACGAAGAGCCTAGAAGAAGGATATGATGCCCGACGAGTCCCTAGAGCGAGCAGAACCGGCGGGGTACTCTTGCACGCGACAGGGGAAAAATAGAAGATTTACTGGCTCTCCGCTCGAGCCACTCGACATTCAACGGAGCTACAAGTGATACAAGTGAACATTTCGATGGTTTCGTTTTTACCAGAGTCGATGATCCTAGTTGATGGTCCACAGTTGTTCGTGTTCTCCAGGTAGCGTCTTGCGTCTTCGTCGCATGTTGAGCCGGATTCTCCTTAGTGGAGCATCTCCCTCAAATGAGCCATAGCCGGTGATGCTGTTTCATACAGGATGGTTCTTCTCAATAGCGGTGATTGTCTGGTGATAACCAATTTTTTTTCCGGCCAATCCATCCTGTAGAAGTCGGTATCACTATCAGCTTGTGCAAAGTATAACGGTATTTGAACAGAGCACGAACAAATGTGGACCATCAACTCGGATTACCGGGTTTGGTGAAGACGAAACCGTCGAAACGTTAGTCGAAAATAAACACTATTTACCAACCTCGTGTAAGCTTATCAAAGAGAGAATAGATATTGATTAGTGATAGGTTAATGAAAAATCAGCTTTCAATTACTATGTTTTATATTATCACACTAGCGATGTCGGAATTATTCCACTATTTCTATCTGGTCGAAATTCAGATGGCTAACGTATCATTCAATATCCTGAAGTTATATTAGATTTATACAAGCATTTTTAACTAGTTCCATTACAACATTATGTCTGCTGAATTGGAACTTTTGGTTAGGACATGGACATTGACCGTATATTTGACACACAAACGGGCACCTTGAAATGCTGGCGGTGTCAGGGCGAAGTTACACAAGATATTACGGGAGGGCCTACTCAAGTTACCAGGTACAATCTGTTGTCTGTTGAGCGAACAATTTTTTACTCCCAAAACATATACGATGATCAGGACGTTGTTGGCTCGGTTTAACGAACAAATGCTACCTCTTTTTGCTGCAATTCGTGAGTTAGCTGGTATTCAGCTGGCACCGCATCTCTTAGAACCAGATATAAATCAGTACTTAGCTGAAGAGGATAAAAGTGAGTTTGTTTTAGACGCTTTGACATCATATTTTACAATTTGTTTCTGCTGTATATTGTTGTTACACCACTGTTTTATTTTACTTATCTGAAGAAAAAAAGATTCCTAGCGTTTAGTGGTCTCCTATGAGGGCGTTTTCATCCTCACTTTGTTTATTCCGAAGTAATCCTAGTCCATCTGCTTCCAGCTTTAATTATCATATTACTCACTTGGATACTATCATATTACTCACTTGGATACTTGGACGGTTCGTCTTCACGAGCTGACCGGACCCTAGCACATACGCCATTCATTCCTTTCTCTCGCAATCCATGGTGGTGGTATTGTTCAAACATGGTAGCGATTGCGAGTGTCATATCGTGATCTGTAAAACAACTGCAGCTGCGGGTACAGGTGATTAACTTTGTTTACGAGCACGTCTGTCCAACGTGTAGGTGGTCGTCCAAGGAGACGTTTGCATTCTCTTGGAGTTCATTCTACTGTTCTCTTCGTCCATCTGTCGTCTGTGATTCTCATTATGTGACCGGCCCATCTATGTTTCGCTATCAATGTACATTCTCCCGGATCTCGAAGATGTAACAGATTTCGAAAGTCAGAGCTTCGCATTCCGGCTACATATTGAGAGTGTCGGTTATACTCAAGCGCTCTGTGAGTAGTTCGAAGCATTCTTGACGTAGTTGAAGTATCAACCCACGTCTCTGCAGCATAACAAAGCGCTGGGAGGACCGTAGAATCAAAGAGATGAGCACGGGTCCTTCAGTTGGTTGGTGGCTTCTTTGAGAGGCCCGAATGCGGCCTAAACTGGTCTCCTACTTCTATCTAGTTCCTCTTTCATGTTGTTTACCATGTTCATTGATCGCCCAACGTAAACATACGAGGTGGTGTCTGCAATGAGAGGGCCATCCAATTCAATTTTTTCGCATTTGCACCAGAGCTTTTTCATGAACTGGATCTTCTTCCGATTTATGCGCAGTCCGATCTTTTTCCCCGCTTCGTTGAGCTCGTTGATTATCACCTCTGCCTCGCTAGTACTTTTTGAAAAGGTAACAATGTCGTTGGCAAAACGAAGGTTTGATAGGAATTTTCCATCAATAAGTATGCCTTTTTCATCCTAATCGAGTAACTTCATTATCCACTGCAGTGCGGCACTGAACAGCTTTGGCGATATCGTGTCGCCCTGTAGAACCCGTTTTCCTATAGGTATTGTAAGAGTTCGATGGAAAAGCTGTATTCTCGTAGTGCTGTTTCGATAACAGTCGGACAGAGTCCTTATGTAGGGCGGGTCCACTCCTTGGTCGGCGAGCGCTGATAGGATTGCATTCGTTTCGACACTGTCAAACGCTTTCTCATATGCGACAAAGGTTATGACTAGATGCAAGTAATACTCCCGACAAACTTCGATGACCCTGGAAGCGGTTTGGATGTTGTCCATGCAGCAAAATCCTTTTCGAAATCCTGCTTGCTCGACTGGTTGCGCCTCATCCAATGTCATTGATATGCGCGAGAGGATAATCTTCGTAATGAGCTTGCAGAGTACACTTAACAAGCATATGGGACGATAGTTACGAACATCCCTTCGGTCACCTTTTTTAGACAGGATGACCGTGCGCGACGTCCTCCACTGGTCTGGGATTTTTTCCTTTTGAAGGTAGCCTTTCATATGATCTGCGTGAAGTACATGTAAATTGTGGCCTCCAACTCTAAGGAAATCGGCAGTGATGTTATCAGGTCCTGGAGTTGTGCCTCTTTTCATTCTTTCTATCGCAACTCGAACTTCCGACGGAAGAATTCCAGGTGGATTTTCTCCAGCGGGAATATTATGGCCCATGATGGGGACTGTGGAACGGAAAAGGTTGGTGTAGAATGTTTCCGCTATTAATTCCATATCATGGTGAGAAGTTTTGACGATCCCATCTTCGCTCATCAGGGTTGACAGCGAAACATAATCACGCAAATCCCGATGGTATTTTTTCAGACTGCTTCTTTTCTCTGCTGCTTCCAGTATTCTCTTCTGCTTGTACCGTTGTAGATCTTCCTGCAAAGCTCTTCTGCAACTGTATTTATTACTAGCCATGTTAAACGAGTTGCAGTAGGATCAAACTTCAGTTTCTTTCTCTTTTCGAGCAACTCATTAGTAGTGATCGAGATGCGATCCTATCTTCTTGCTTGAGGAACTGAGGCGAATTCGACACGGCTTTTCAGTCCTTCGACATCAGCTCGTAGTCTTCGGTCAGTTCTTCTTTAATCTGCCAGTCACGTTTGGACAGGGCTTCGTTCAGAATGTTCTCGTCGTATACAGCTAAATTTTTTCCTTGTGGTGGTTGAAGAGAGTTCTTTTCCAGCTTGCAGCTGAATCTAATTTTCGCGCGAAGAAGGCGGTGATCGGAACCAGTACAGAATGACGGGACTACCGATGTGTCAAGTAGACACCATCTTCTGTTTGTCAGAATATGGTCGATCTCCGCATGAGTTATACCGTTGGGAGACTTCCATGCCCAGCGGCGGCCTTCTTTCTTCTAGGAAAACGAGTTTCCATGGAAGAGACGTGCTGCTGGCGGGAGTCCTGCGAGACGGTTCCCATTCTCATTTCTTTGTCCTAATCCAAAATTTCCGATCCTGTATTCGCTCTGGTTGGCCTTTCCTATTCTGGCGTTGAAGTCTCCGACAACAAATTTATGGTATGCTTATCATTGCGGATGACTTCCTCCAACTGATAGTAGAACGCATTTAATTCGTACTCATCAGCTGCGTTGGTCGGTGAGTAGCAGTTGATGATAGTGATCTTCTTATGATGCGACAGTTGAAGACGGAAGGCGGCTATAATAAGGGACAGGATCACGAATGAGTGGACGAGATGGACAATGGACGGGTGGACAACAAAGCCTACGCTACCGACATTTAGTGAAGGGACCTTTTCTCCACGGATCACAAGGGTCCCGTTGTTTAGTTCGCGCATGTCGGTCTTCTTGATTTTTGTTTCTTGGAACGAGATCACATGAAATTTAATGCGATCTGCGGCTACAAGAAGGGCGCGTAAAACGGCATCTATGGAGACTGTTCTGGCATTATACGTGCATAGTAAGAAACAATCTCCAAAACGTGTGGTGCGTGCGTTCGTCAGATCCGGTTCCAATTCCGGTTCCAATGACGTCCTGCGTAACCCGAGATTTTCTGGCCTCTCACCGGTCGTCTCACTGACTTATGTCATAGACGGGAGCACCCAGTGTGCGGGGTACTGAGGCTGGTCTATTGCTGGTCGTGCAACTTGGTCTTGATATTATCGTATTATCAGTTATCATGTTGCTCATTTATTTCCTCGTATATTCCACGAGAGTACTGCAGCAGGTTTCTCGTTGCTGTTTTGAGGTGTTGAAAACGTATTAGATGTAAAACAAAACGTGGGAACAATTGAATAGGGGAGTGTAGTGGTTTGAGATTTTCAGTTCTCTTTGGACTACATCATCTCTGGAATGAAAAAAATGCACTTTTACAATTCTCAGGTGTTATTTTTACGCATTGGATACCACAGCTCTAAACAAGACTTAGTTTTTGTGGCTTTGAATACGGAGTCCTTTCTTGGGGATTCCTTGGAAAGCTTACCCTTCTCTTTATCTTTAAGCACATTGTGAATCTGTCGCACTAAAACTATCCGAAGAAGTTATGGCAATGGCAAAACTATGGTGCTGAGCTCTACCTCTTTAGTACTAAGTGGGATACCCACTAATTTAACACTTATTTTTGTGTCGTTTTGTATATGCATACAGGTGTTTACATACATACTCACTAAATTTTTTTCTGCTGTGACACTCTGAAATGGCATTACTGGGTTAACGGCCCAGTAAATATTGAAAACGTTTGGTTTAGGCCAGAAATGGTGTTGTATAGTAGTTCATCTGGGACGTTATTGCGCTACGATAGTGTGTACAGTTCAAACTCTAGAAGATTCTTTGTCGTGAAAAGTATTACCTATTTTAGTATTTTTAGGTATTTCATACTTTATGATGATTTTCACGGCATTAGTTTGGATATCACTTGGACATTTGTCTTGGAGAACATACTTTGGATATGAGCAATATGTCAAACTTGCTATGCACCCCTAATCATTCTGAACTTATTGGCGCTTACTGTTACGTTTGCAATAGTAATTTGTGGGTCTGTTTTAAAATGGTCAACGATGAATATCTTCGTTTTTCACGACCAGCGGCGACCTCCAGAAATCGGGATTCATTTAAACTTTTGCTAAACCTATTTTTGTTTTTGTTTTTTAATGAAGCATTTAATCAGTGGTACGCTGGTTTTTTGTGTTGTTACTTCTCTGTCCTAATAAATTTCTTTCAGCTGCTGAACCACAACATCAACTTCTCGACTTCTCAACAGCAGCGCGTGGCCCACGAAATCAGCTGGGCGGAACAGCCCATTCATACAATTCTGGGCCGCTGATAAAATACGCGAATGCTGACCAGATTACCGTGGACCTGAATGCCGACGCGAACAGGTTATCTGAGCTACGTCTATAAATTCTCTATTTGCACTTTAAGTGACGATGTGATCTCTGTAGGAGTGTTTTGTGTTGATGCATTATGTCCTGTATGACTTCTATAAAATCCATTTTTTCGATGGTTCATTTTGTCGCACGGAACAGTTTTACTGCACTTTTTATAACCGATCGATAGCTCGCCCTACACAGATGCTGTAGCGATCATACTCCTTGGAAAGCTGTGCGGTACTCTTAATAGTTTCCAAGGAGACTTCTTTGGACGAATTCATTTCATGGGCGGGAGGATCTTGCTGTTCAGCACAGCGACTGCATAAGAGACTGCTGGCTTTCAATAAGGAATAGTGACATCTCTGCTATAATTTGCAACAGTATTCTCATACACTTCTTTTGATGTTATGAGTATGATATTGAGATATTGATTTCGCAAACTTCTTAGAACATATACCATTTACTTGGATGCATGGATGGCCCTTCCCCACTGGTTGTGCAGGCCCATTATGTTCTCCATTTTTCGGAGTTTTGCTGGTTTAGCCATCGTGTTTCCTTGGAATTCCGGGGTCAGCTTAGCCCCAGGTCGTCACAACTACAGGCATTCGCCGCTCTTGTGGTTCAGGGGGAGATTTGCCACCATGCGACTGGTTCGATACCACGACTGTGGTGGATCCTGATATTGGTTCACTTTTAGTTGGCCTTCCTGGTGGAACGCTGCACTCCTCAGCATGGAAGACTCTGCTGGAGGATGTATACCGCAGCCCGATACCCAGGCACCTAGAAACACCTCCCAGCCACGATGTGGCTGTAGACCGTTAGGAGGACATACCATTTAGATCCCAGGATCGACTTTCTATTAATCTCGGCAATGGATTATGAATGCGTCGTTTTTAAAAACCTCGCGATTGCTGAACAAGAAAACGACGCATTTATATGCCGTTAAGAATTTTTATAATCCAGAACTTTTATATGCAGGACTCTTTAAATATAATTTATATTCACTATAACTTGCATTCTCTGACATTTGCATATTTTCAACACAATTTACATTTTCTAGAACTTAATATTTTAACAATTAATACGTTTTATATGTATATGTAATTACCGGAACTAGCACTTTTTACGATCACTACATTTTCCATACTAATAATGATTTCAATTACTCCGTACTTTCGCTTTTCGTCGGACTTATTATGACCATTCATACATAAGTATATGCTGTATTGCAAATATTTAGTAATAACCTGTGTGTAACGTATATTTGGCGTCGAGTGGCTCGAGCGCGCACCAATGAATCTTCCACTTTTCACTGTCGCGTGGAAGAGTGTCCTAGTGAGTTCTGCTCGCTCTAAGGACTCGTTGAGCATCACATCTTTCATATAATCTTTTCGTAAATAACTGACCATCGGGTCGGTGGTCTTCCTGCAGTGCGTTTAACATCCTGAAGAATCCAGTCACTAACGGCTCTTGTCAGTCGGTTGTCATTCATACACTTTACATGTCCAGCCCACCTTATCTTCGACTGTTAGGAGCATCTCAATTCAGTCAGATGTCTTCTTCAAACCGACGAAAATGAGGCAGAGTGGTCTTTTATACTTTCGCGGTCCTTCAATGAGCCGTGTTACTATGTGGATGTCGTCCATCGTACTAAATCCTCTTCGAAACCTTGCTTGCTCACATCGCTGTCCTTCGTCTAGTGTTCTGTCAATCCTGTTTAGGATGACTCGAGTGAAAAGTTTTTAGACGACAGACAGCAAGTAGATAGGGCGGTTGTTGCCGATATCGTGGAGGTCACCCTTCTTGAACAATAACACGGTCTTGCTGATCTTCCACCTAGTAGGGACCTTGAATTCAGACAGGTAACGTGTGAAGAGCCTAGCTAGTGTGTTTGCGAGGACTGGTGGAAGGTTCTTCAGATGTTCTGATCTTGTTCTGTCCGGATCTGGTTTGCTGTTCGATTTTTCACCAACGAAATGGTATGTCGGATTTCGGAAGGGAGAACCGGTGGTGCAACATATCCATCGTCCTTTATTTCATATGACGGAAGGTGGACGTTGCTATCGAAGAGATCCGAGTAGTATTCATGAATGATTTTCTCCATTGCCTTTCTGGACACTGTAACTGTTCCGTTTGGGCGCCGGAGAGCAATCATTTTGGTCTTGTAATTGGCGAAACTTCGGTGGGCTTTACGAATGCTTTTCCCAGTCTCTGCAACTTCGGCCATTACTGCTGCTCTTCTCTCTTTAAGATCTTCTTTTATCGCCAATTTGCACTGTTTTGAAAGTTCGGACTGAGTTGGTGCTTGCCTGCAGCTCGTGCGATTCAACGCTGGCGTAGCCGCTCGATTGTTTCTAGAGATAGATCTCTCATGGTGGCTTTCGAACTCTCAGTTTTCATTGCGCTAGCGTGAAGATCTTTGTTCGCGTCCATATTATGGGCATGTTCCCAACAGCCGACTAATTAGTTGAAGAAGTCCCAGTTTGGAGTAGTTGTAGGACTTCTTTTTTTGAATTTAGCGGCTTTTTTTCCTTTCTGCGAGAAAGGGAATTTTGCACGAAGGAGGCGGTGGTATGATCTCGTGTAAAATTTTCGGGCAACACCTACACCCACCTCACGAAATTCCGCCGTAATATCCCGTTCGGCTCTATGAACATCTGCAGCATCTTCCTTGATTGACTTACTTCATAGGAAAATTTATCTTATCTACATCTGTAGGAAAGCAGGTAGGGACGATCCGTGTAGATCATCCACCATAAGACGAAGAGAGGACTGTGTCAGAATCGGAGCGCTAAAACGATTTTGAAGTGTAAGACATTGTGGTGCTGAGATATTTTTAAAATTTGGACCCCAGGCCAGATTCGAACTTACGATTACGCTATTTGGGGTCCATTATTGTAAAGACATTATAAGGTCCAGTGTTCATTACGTTGCGATTCCTTTGAACTTATCAAAACCGTAGTTGTAAGCTCCAACCAAGAGAAGCTGTTGGTCAAAAGAAGCGGTCAGATGGTGATCTATTTTTCATATATTAGGAGAATATGGTATGTTTTAGCTTCCTCGTAGTCTAGATCTATCTTTTTAATTCGCAGTTTGCGTGCGTACTGCTGCTATTCCCCTTGGTTAGTGACAATAGTAGAACAAGAATATGGAGACTGTAAGGATATAAAAAGGCATTATTAAGGCACAACAGTAGTAAAAACCCGTAAAATATGATAGGTGAGTTAGCACTGGTGCAGCCGTCGTAGCAAGCATTAGTTATTAGAATTTTTCCAAGTGTCAAAGTGTACATCTTTGCTAAAAAGTTCTGTATGAAAATGGTTGATTAATGGGAGTAAATGGAAGTTCTACATGTTAACTCTGCACAGAATTTGTAAGTTGTACGTATATTGGACTGTAAACTATAGATTTCAGAGTAAATGCTCTTGTATATAACGTTCAAAATATTAGTAAAACTTGGGTGTTGCAAAGACAAAGTAGCGAAGCGCAAACATAGACGCATACTTTGTAGACATAAAGCCACTCTGAAGAACTTTTTTCATTGATAGGTCGTCTTATCGTAGTGGAATGTAGTCCTTGATGATTGAATTCCACTGTACAAATAGAGAACTTTTGTGCCTCTTCAGCGACAACAGTCTCTGAAGTGTATACTCTCTTCAACAGCAATACTTTTGTCGTAAAATGAAATCGCCTAGGAAGAGGTTTTTTTTAAAATTATTAAGCGAAGACAGCTGTCAAAGGTCACGGCAGACGTCCACCGAGATAGGACCAGCTGTCGGTTCAGTACAAAAGGTGCTATATAAAGCTCTGTGATGAAAACAAAAAGCTAAAGGATAAAGCTCTTGGCATTGATCAACCTCTGAAGGATGCGCCATGAATTCGACTTCATTAAGCATTGTTTGGAGGTAATTGAATGCATATGTAAATGTATGAATACGAAGGCATATTTGGCCTTTAAAATGACTCGCGATAGGCTACAGATGTATCGAGCCAGTGCTGCTATTCTGCCAGACAAGTATGATACCAATTTGCTGATCCCGGAGGGATGGAAGGCTTAGTGGGTCATGGGCACGGGTATTGATTTCGCGTGTGTATTGCAGGCCACCTCCGACCACTGCGCCACCCGCGCTTTTTGAAAGGAAGGTGGAAAATGAAATGAAAATAAACCGTTGAAAATCGAATATATAAAAAGCAGTACAATTCATTCACTTTGTCCAACGTGCCCATGCTTACCTGGCCTACTTAGTACCTCTTGGGCATTATATGTTGAACAATGTTTTCCATTTTCAGTAAGCCTGTTGAAGAAGCAAAAGTAGTGCCGACTTGGCTTCAAGATGACGCAATTAGTGGAGTCGAGCAGAATACAGCAGAAGCTCTTGGAGTAGATGCAGATAGGTAAGCCCGCTTTTAATATACATGCGGAACAGCCGTTTCACTTTTTATTTGATCCCTAGATTCATTTCATTTTGCAGTTTTGGTTGAAGTTTATTCTTCCGATATGTGTTTGTTTTCTTTTTTTTAAGTCTTAACTGCAAATATCTCATATTGCTACATTTTTTCTCTCGCGAAACTCCAAGCTGCACTTTATTCTTCGTTATTACTTGTGCCAAAATT